AAAGGGTGCACATCACTTACCTGTAGCGACTTTGGTAAAGACTACATATTTTTGTTTGGGGGCGCTTTTTGCGAAACTCGGGGGACAAGCTCAAACCTGGATGCAAGGCGGTCATGTCTATCACCCTAGATTAGTTGCAGATTTACAGAAAAAAATTGCTGCATCAAATGGAATGTCTGTAACAAGCTTCTCTAGAAGGCTTGAAATGTTTCGTGTCACAGAGTTACCGCGACCTCTTCAAGGGATTGAAGTTGTGTCGTTAAGAGTAAATCTAAGGGACAGAACGTGCGACTGCGGGTTTTTTCAAGCTCTGAAGTATCCATGCTCTCATGTGATAGCAGCTTGCTCGCATACACCTCAAGAATATAACCATTTTATGGATCCCGTATACCTACTATATGAAGTTTTTAAGGTATACGAATTTGAGTTTCCCCCATAGGTAATGACAAAGACCCTGATGAGGTTCAAGATTGGCTTCCAATTGTACCAAATCTGAGTTTATTGAGGGAGCGTGGTTGTCCAAAATCCAATCGAATTCATTGCGATATGAATATTAAAGAAAGATCTAGACAAGACAGAAGATGTGGGCATTGTAGAAACCCAGGACACACTAGAAAAACATGTCCACTTCTGTTGTCAAAAAGTAACAATTGATGAGGAAATGATGTATTTTATTATCAAATAATAATTATTCTACTTTAATTTGCATTTACTTCAAGTTAATGTCATTTGATAATCATCGATGAAGATTAAAAAACAAACACAATCATTTAATTTTAACAAACTAATAACAATAAGTATTAAATGGTAAATGATAACCAAATTACAATAACTGATATTAAATAGTAATAAAAAAACGAACTGAAATACATTAAAAAACAAAATAAAGTAAGTATTAAATGAGAAATAAAAAAAAATTACAATTTAACAAATAAAGTAAATACAAATATAATAAAAAACAAAATCTATCGATGCCTGCGACACGAATATGTTCCGTAGGGCGGTGGCTGTCGGTCTCGAGGAGGATTTCTTCGTATCACTGGTTCTGACTCTTCGCTGTCATCATCATCACCGTCATCGTCGTCGTTGTCGTCGCCTTCCGCAGGTACATGAGGAGCTGATGGCGATGAAACACCTCTATAGAATAAGGACCCTGGAGGTGTATGACTGACTATCCCACCGGCATGCGAAAACTGGGAAAACTCATAAAACTCAGACATCGCTGAGTGTGAAAACTGTACAGCATGCTGTGTCTGTGCTGCGACCATGGGTGATGAGGCTGAACTCGTAAAATATCCACCATATAAACCCCAAGTCGGGTCTGCAAACATAGACCCATAATAGCCTCCAGGAGGGGTCATCTGTGACAGTGGCAGGGTCATAAAATCGGGTGAAGACGGAGGCATCTGGTAATGGAAAGGCGATGGTGGCATCATATATGGCTGTGGTGGCTGCTGGGAAGGTCCTTCTGGTGCAGCTGAGGATGAACCGGATGCACCTGCTCTCCGTCCACGAGTCGGGGGACGATGGTGCTGTGTCGGTGAACGTCTATGTCGACGTCATGGAAAGGTCTGCCCTCGTACATCCTCGGGAAGTAGAAACGGTTTCCCGTTACTATTGAACCACTCATAATAATCCTCAGCATACATCAAGAGGTCATAAAAAATGGGCTCTCTACGGGGAAGGAGTCGATGTCGATCCTCCCACAACACGACCCACCCATGATGCATAACCAGCAAATCTGTATTTGTCTTGCCGCGTCTGTCTAAGCTATGCAACTCGTCCATATTGCGAGGTGCTTCCAGAATTGGTTGAAAATAACCAAACTGCCGGAGCACGCGATCAGTGGAGTGCCACTCGACGGTCGCATAACAGATCAGAGGGACCATCGCCATCCAAAAATCTAATAGACCCCTCAACTCAGGTGGGATCACCGCCCTCACATCATCAGTAGAATATGGCACCCATTCAAACTAAAACAAATAATATATATTTTTTATCAAAATAATAATCTAATTATATAACTATAATCTAAAATCGATTTTTAAACATTAAAATTCATACCTGTGTGCCAACATTCTGATCGATTAGCACCCTAATCTTTTCTAAATCATCAGGTAGCTCCTGATGATTTTTCCTATCAGTAGACCACCTATTCAAGGGAAAAAATTTGTTATACGTTGTATAAAATTATTAATATACAAAATCAGTTTTATAATTACCTCAGAAGTAGTGGAAATACGAATGGGTTCTTCACAACGGGACATAAACAGAGCAATCGATACCATGCCCAAGACTGCAACAGCAGGAGACATATGCCGATAGCATTGCGCCTGTAGTCAGTGGCTCTACACATCTCCCTGTACAGCAAAGCCAAAACTGCCGAGCCCCAACTGAATGATCCGGCGAGACGAAAGTTGCTAAGATATCGCAACCACATGCAGTGAACTAGGTTTAGTGATTTGTCTAGCATCAGCAACCCTCCTATCAGCTGCAGTATGCATGTCCGTGTTAACCTCATCCTCAGAGGCGTCTGCGCTCAACTCCCGAAAATTGGCATCTAACCAATTTAACGGTATCCTACCTCCGATAAAATTTTTCGGGACACGTCCTAGACTATCTCGACACAAAGCAGTCCAAGAACCGGAAGCTATCCCCGATATCACATCTCCATCCACCGGAAGCCCCAGGTGCATAGAAACATCCTCAAGCGTGATCGTGCACTCTCCGCACGGAAGATGGAATGTGTGGGTCTCCGGCCTCCACCGCTCTACTAAGGCAGAAATCAGGTCTGGCTCTATCTTACAATGACCCTGATATCTACCTATGTAACCGAATCCAGCCTCTACTAAATACGGCAAGACACGGCTGGGTATCACTAACTTAAGATTCCTAATAAAAGGATCTAATACACGATCACTCTCCTAAAAATAAATAATTACAAAAATTAATTCTTAATATAATAATCATGCATTAAATGAATCAACTAATTATTAATAATAATTTAAATTAAATAAATAACTAAATATTACTAATAATTTAAATTAAATTAAAACGTTAAAATGTTACCGTATCAGCAAAGTGTAGAGATATATGATTTCCATCCGAGCGAAGCAGACTGCCTTTCATTATATATCTGCAAAAGAATTATATTAGTAAAATATTAAATAAAGTAAAAATATAATAGTCAAAATATTATAAAATATACCTTAAAAGAGAGTATTTGAGAGAAATTTAGAGGATTTGAGAGAATTTGGTGTGATAAAATTGATTGAGAATTGGGGTATTTATAGGGAGGAGAGGTCGGTAGTTAGGGGTATAGCGCGCCCCCTGTACCGCGCTATACCCCATGTGTCAGATATACAGGTATAGCACGCTGCAGGGGCCGCACTATACCCACGTGGCGCCAGCTCACCGTATAGCGCGGTGCAGGGGGCACGTTTTACTGCTAAGGGTGTTAGATCGGGAAATATAATCTGACCGGTGTTAGATCGATAATATTACCGGTCACCGGTGATATATCGGGAAAATCGCCCATATAAGATAACCTTACGCCTTGAAAAAAACAATATCATATCTCGCATTTTACGAAGCGTGAGTTTCGTGTATTTGTTATAGCCTTCATCTAATATTAAATAATTTTATTTGAAAAAATTGATGAATTTTAAGTCCTATAAAATGTAGGTCCATTAAACGTGTTTTAGAGGATGCGAGATAGTTCTATGTGAAAGATTTAGGGGTTATTTTTCTAACAAATATGCTAGAGGTTATTGTTCAAAAAATATTTTATAGAGTTTTTTAATATAAAATTGCCTTGGCTTAATAAAAAAAACAAGTGCCTAAACTATATTGATAGTTAAACTATTTTTTGACTCATTTAGGTGACTAACGTTACAAATGTTACATATTTAGGTGCTAGTGCCTTCAATGATGTTAATTTCTCTCGTTAAGTAACACATGTCACAATCTAATGATTTTGAAATTTATTTTTAAAATATTAAAAATATTATTATATTTTTAAAAAAACATAATTTCTCTTAAATTATAAAATAGTTTCAAAATCTCCTAATCCTAAACTTAATCCCGCCGTCCTTTTTGGCCATAACAACTATCGCTGGTGTATCCCTTATCACTCTCCTAGTCATACGTCACCGTAGTTGCTTTCCATTGACCGTCAGAATTGCGTAAGATCACGATTTTCAACCTAGGTTCGCAAAGTATAAAACGTCAATTCGTCGTCGATCGACCATTGATCGATCGCGATTTCATAGGGATTTTGGTCGACGAGGGGATAGGAGATCGGGTGGGGCTTCATTGACGGAAAAATATGGCAGCTAACATAGGTTTATGGGTTGAAATGAAGGTTTTTAAAGTTTTAGTTTTATTTCAAAATTTGTGTTTTCTTTTTTTAAGTATATAATTTTAATAAAAATGTTAAATTTATCAGAGTGTTACATGTGCCACTTAATGGAAAAATTAACACCGTTGATGACCCAAGTATCTAAATAGGTAATGTTTGTAACGTTAGACACATAGATGAATCAAAAAATAGTTTAGGCACCTGCTTCGGAGAAGCTGTACAATTTGACCACTTATTTTGATATTAAGCCTATTAATAATATTAATTTCTAAAATAAAAAAAAAATTGAGGATATCTTGTTAATATTGTTGCATTAGTTATTTATGAATAGTTATGATGTACGATATCTTTAATATATGATTTTTTAATATATTTGGTAAAACATTATCTAGAATATTATTTTTTTTTATCAAAAATGTTAATTTTACTATCTAATTTCTAATAGAAAACGTATCGTCTAATATTAACATTTTTGTAAAAAAAAATAATATTTTAGATAAAATTTTACTGAAAACGTTAAATATTTTAAATAATGTCTAATATTAATATTTTTAATAAAAAAATAATATTTTATGTAATTTTTTTCTTTATTTAGTTTCTCAAAGTCCCAAATGTTAGGACAATCTTGGCGGCTCTGCACATTCCCTAATATTCCTTTTTTATCGTTACCATCTCTTTCGTTCTCTCAAAATCGTTCTAAAAAAAATGGCTGCTCACCGTAGTGAAAACCTCTCTTTCTCTCCAGATTGTGACTTGTCTCCTCCGCACGATCGCCGGCTCTCAAAACACGTCCGTGACAACGTTCACGGCAACATTTATCTCGACCCTGTATGCATTTCTCCTCCCCCCGGAAAAACTTTAGCCGTTTCTAATGATTGTTTTGGTAAAGTGCCTTACATACGAGTAGAAAAAGTTTTTAAAAATTTTAATAGGAGCCGTGATTCTCTTCACTGTTTCGATATACTAAATCAAATTTCTTATTAAGATTGTTACTGTTTTCAATTTTCAATATTCGTTGACTGGAGAGTGAAGACCGAAGAAGAATACTGTAGCTGATTTTTTTCATCTTAATAAATCATATAAATAATAACATATATTTTTAAAAGTTTATTTTCGCTGCAGCTCTCTTTGAAGTTTATTGACACCGAGCAATTTCAAAGGTAAGCTGGTTTTCATTTCGTTACTGTTTTAGCTTCAATTCAGATCTCATTTATTGATATTGTTTCTCTATTTTCATGATACAGGCTTCGTGAGCTGAAGCAACTTGGTAAAGTTGATTTTCTTCTTCTTTATCATTTATTTTGCCCATGAGAATGGATGTTTTTGAACTGTGAATTGCATCAGATGGATATGCGTGATTGAGATGGTTGATTTATAGCATATAATATAAATCAGTGTCAAAGAAGTTTTTATATGATAAATTTTGAAATGGCTACAGATTTTTGTAGTTGTTACATAGAAAACTAGTAATTTTTATGATTTTCAGACCTTCATCGAAGTCTTTGTTTGGGATAACGAACACATCATATGCTTCATAAAAGTAAGGGACCGGGTTTTTTTATTTGTGTTGAAGTAATATTGATTTACTATAAAATTGATTGGAGAGTTGGCGTTTTCTTCATTTGCATGCCGTTGCTGGGATGGAAATGAAATGGATGAGTGGTCAGATTCAATACTATAGCAAAACTATCTATTTCTTTACACTTTTTCTTAGCATAAATGCAGCATGCTTGGTCTTCATTAAAAATGATGATATGATTCATCAGTTTCTATGATAAGTGGATATTATACTTTATTATGTTGTTTCTTGTCAGTTTCATTGATCCCCGTTAGTAAAATACTATTCTATTCAAAGCATCTTGAGTTGTTCACTTGTATTAGACTAAACAATGGCATTCCATTGCTTTGGTGTTGATTTTACCTAAATCTGCACAATGTTTATTTTATTTAATTTTCCATAATTCATTGAGCTCATATGCAAGGTTGTAACTCTCTGATTTTACTAACTATTAATTTGTTTCAGGATTGGTACACATGGTTTACCCAGGGGCTGTGCATTCCAGGTTTGAGCATTCTCTTGGTGTGTATTGGCTTGCAGGTGAAGCTATCCAAAAGCTCAAAACCTATCAGGTATAAAATCATTTTTATGCTATTCCAGTCTACCATAATCTATGTATATATTCTCAGATGCACTTGTGTAGGGTTCGGAGCTTGGTATTAATCTGTTTGATGTTCAAACAGTGAAAGTTGCAGGTAAAAACTTGTTGCCCTGGAAAGTTCTTTTAATTTAAATTGAATTGGTTCTTTATGGGATTTTGTTACTCCAATTGTAGGACTTCTACATGATGTAGGCCATGGACCTTTTTGCCACTTATTTGAACGAGAGTTTCTCCCCAAAGTTCTTAAAGGTTTCAAATGGTAAATAAACAAATTTTTATGTTGCATTATTTACTCCTTGCTTTTTTTTTCATGTTATAATATTAAAAAGTTGATCATCCGGTGATCCCACATGTATATATGTAGTATCAGTCTGACGTCTTTTGCATAAAATGATATTTTGATAGTTAATCAGTACATTGCTTTTCTTCTTGTCTCAGTTAATGTTAGGGCCTTAGGGGTTGAAAAATGTGGTTTTCATCCATTATACACCACAGCTATTTTCTAGGGCTCATGAAGAAATGTCAGCGAAGTTGATTGATCATATTGTTGATGAGCACCATATTGATGTTGAATCTGAAATGATTAAAAGAGTCAATGTAAGTTGATCTTGTTAGGAATTTTTCATACACAATTTTCTTTCTTTCTTTTTGGTTTTTTGTGATTTTTTTCTTTGGCATGTCTAGAATCCTCAGAACTGGTGTTATATGCAGAGCCATTTGAATTGATGTAGCAAATATTTCCAAATATTCTTAAAAGTGTATTTTTGAACTACTAATTCCTGTGTTTTTTGAACAATCGTACTTAACTATATAATTTCTTTCTTTTAATTCCTTTTGTTGCCATTAAGCATACACTGAAACTTTCCTGGTATCTACATGTTTTTTTCTTCCTCCATATATCCCTATAGTTTCTGCTTGCAGCTTTTCCTTTCCGTTTGATCCTTACGTTTATGATAAGTATCCTTGAATAGGCCCACTCAAAAAACAAGGGGCTCATTAATCTTTATATGGGAATGAGAAACAATTTTGATTTCCTGTTGCTGGATTGATTTTAATCCATTTTCATTTATTTCCAGGAAATGATACTAGCTAGCTCTGAGTTTGCACTGCCAAAAGTAAGTGTTTATCTCTAACATCTATTTTTTAGGGCATATGTTGATCATTGGATTTCCCCCCTTCAGTGTTGGGAAAAACTATGGACGTTCTTTATTTCTTTTCTTTATCATAGTACGTTGACTATTTTGTGCTTATTTTGAAGAGTGCAAAGAACAAGCAATTCTTATATGATATTGTTGCAAATGGTCGGAATGGAATTGACGTGGATAAGTAAGTTCATATTAATTATTTGTCCACATCTTCAATCCAATTTAATTTCCTATTAACAACGTGAAATTTTACTTGTGTAGGTTTGATTACATTGTCCGCGACAGTCGAGCTTGTGGATTAGGATGCAGTTTTGATTTCCACAGGTTTTTGCTAAATATTCCAGACATTTAGCTTGTAACTTCTGTTATCAATAGATGCATTAAAAAGCAAAAGGATAAATGAAAGTTATAAGATTTCTTCTGCTAGCATTATATGCATACTGCACCACCTGCAGGTTGATGGAGACAATGCGAGTTTTGGGTGATGAGATCTGCTATCGGGCTAAAGACTGTTAGTATCACCTGTGTCATTTATTTGCCAAGTAAAAGTTTACTTTTACTTTTAGTCCTTTTTACTAACTCCTGCTTAATATTGGTAATGAGTGCTAGATCTTAGCATCTACAAGTTATATGCTACTCGTGCTGAACTTCATCGAACTGTGTACACCCACTCTAAAGTGAAGGTATTCACAAAATTAAATTTTTACCATATCATCTTCTCGATGTTTTCTCTCCTCTTTTCTGTTGTGTCATTAGTAATGTAGGCTTACTTATTATCTGATGTAGCAATGTCTCATTTCATTTTACTGCAAGCGGTTGAGCTTATGGTAGTAGATGCTCTTTTGAAAGCAAATAGTTATCTAGAAATCTCATCTTCCATTCAGGATCCTTCTGAGTACTGGAAGGTTGGAGAACATGCTTAGCATACTTCTGTAATCCTAATAATTTATAGTCCAAATGAATAACATGCTTTGCATTCTTTTCTTCTTTGATTTCAGCTGGATGACTCAATAATCAAAACTATTGAGACAGATCCACATGAAGAACTTCGAGAAGCTAGGGATTTGATTCTGCGCATTCGTCGGAGAAATTTGTATCAGGTGGAAAAGCTTTGCTTAATTTACACTGTCTTTGTGTATAATGGCAGCATTGCAAATCACCATGCACTTCTGATTTCTGGGTTCTTTTTCCCCATTGTGTGGAAGACGGAACTTATTATATAATGGTTTATTTTCTGTGGCAGTTCTGTAATGAGTATTCAGTTCCAAAAGACAAATTAGAGCATTTCAAAAATATCACTGCACAGGACATTGTTTGTTCCCAGGTCCTTATCATGATTTTTTTTCCCATTGACATGTGCATGATCTTATGCATCTGTTCTTAAGCCAAGTAGTCTCCAATATTGACACGATGCAATTTAATTTTAACAGAAAAATGGAGTACTGCTAAAAGAAGATGACATTGCTGTTAGCAATGTCAGAATTGATTTGACTCGTGGAAGGCAAAATCCTCTTGAAAGGTATTATGAGGCCTTTATATGCTCAATTTGAAGAGGCAAATATTTTCATTGTTTTTCTGGGTTTCATCTTTGGCTAGTCTTTGATACTTTCTTTTCCTCTTCATTTATTTGCACGTCTACTTGCAGCATCAACTTTTTCAAGGTACTTAAAATCATTTACACTGTTATATATATATAACATATATTTTCCTTTTGTTTGGCTTATATTTCTTAACATTTTGATTGTTGATAGTAGTGAATACCCAGGAGTTATTATGGGTGTTACAGGTGTATACGATGAAACCGTGTTGCCTTTTAACGGCGACGCAAATATAAAAACTGGACCTATATAAGCTACTTAACAGAGGAAATTCCAAACTATATTGCTCCGGTTCTTTATTTTTCTTGAAGTACTCGTATGCAACGCTCGTATGATATGGGTACAAGGATATAATCTTATAACCACTCTCTTAATTTATAGAAATGTTATAAAAGAGTTAAACATACATGGTGTCTGACACTCTCACTCGAGTCGAGTAATATAAATTCCTAAATTATGAAGTCTGGAATTGGATCCTGATATTGTTTAGGCATTTGAGTTGTTTCATGCACACACAGGATTACGACAGTGAGGAGAAGTTCCCCATACCAGACGATCGCATTAGTCACTTGCTGCCTTCATCTTATCAGGATATGATAGTGAGGGTGTATTCGAAGAAACCTGAACTGGTCCGTGAATTCAAATGAAATTATTGTTATACTTCTCTTTTCCATTGGTTTAGTCACAATAGATTGTTCTTTTTTATGTACTCGCAAACAGGTAGCAGCTGTCTCAGAGGCATTTGAAAATTATCAACTAAAAGTCTACGGAGTTAAAGCTCAAGTGCACGATACACCGGAGAAGAAGAAACGGCACATTGGTACCGACACATCGAACAAAACGGCGTAAATGCTACATAGAAAACGTATTAATTCAGGTATCAAAATGTGGAATATTTGTCAAATCCGGTAGCTAAATGATAAAATTTTATACCTATGTTTGAGTGTGTAACATAAGCGTGGTTTACGAGTACTTGAAAAAAAACTAGGGTGTGGACAAGGTGAAGATAGGATAGTACAATTATATATCAGGTTAAATTACATCAGGGATCACTTAATTATGGTTAATTCTTTTATCACTCAATTAGAAATAAGGCATAGTATAATTAATATATTCAACCTTTAATTTTTTTTCACATTTTATCAATTTAGTTTATTTTTTAAAAAATATCCCTCGATCCTAATTACTGCGTCATGGCTGGCCTCTCTCCCACAAGAAAGTAGGGATGGGCATGGGTCGATTTTTTTGTCCACCCGACCCGACCTGAGAACAAGGGAGCCTCCACCCGAGACTCGACCCGACCTGACCAAAAAAAGAGTTCACTCGAACTCGGACCCGATCCGATATATAACTTAGAAACCCGATCTGATTCAACCCGAAATAATAAAAAAATATTATTGCTAAATATATAGAGGGGTATTATTATAATTATTTCTAAATATATAAGATAAAAATATATTTTTATCGGGTAGGATATTTTTCACCCTAAATCCGAATCCGACAGACCCGAAACTTCAATTTTTTTAAAGAAAATCTGATCGGGTCGGGTTCGGGTCTCATGTCCATCCCTACTTGAGAGCGGAAACAAATTATTGTTCTTCGTTCCCTCTTTTAATAGCTCTGATTATATTTTCCGAGAAATTTTTCATAAATCAAAATATCGTCGAACTTCTCTAATTCTGACCTAAAATTCTAACCATCGGATCATCGTGCAACTTTGAGCACGACTCCTCCTTGGTATTGCGAACCTATCACTGCTTCAATCTCTTAAATAGTTGGGTAGATCTGCGTAAAAAATATTTAACGGTCCAATTATATCAATATTTTCACTTAAATTAGTTTTTTTATAGTTGTATCGTTTATACCATTGAAATTTGATTTCCGTTTTAATTATATCACTGGGCCGTTAAATCGTTAATAGTCGGATTAAAACGACTTCGTTATGGTGAGGTATCTATGTCGACAACCGTCAGTCACGTCGATAGGCGTCAATCACGTTATTGTGTCGTTAACGATTCAATGGAATAATTGAAACGACGAAGTTCAATGCTATAATTGACAAAATTAAAAGTTTAGTGATATAAACGATACAACGTCTAAAATTTGGTGACGTAGTTTACCCTTAAATTTATATAATCTAAAATTAAATCAAATTAAAATTATTTTTTGAGACGAACCCTCACCTATTCCAGGATAATTGGTGAAACAATTGGGGGCATCTTGTCTGGTTCTGTGACTACCCTTCCAGGCTCCTCTTTAAAATGTCAAAAACAACCCATTTCTTTTGATGTTCGCATCACTGCTTTGCATTAAGTCAAGAAAGATGGAAAACTTCACGTGCTTCATTCAGTTTGAGATCGCCAGTGTTAAATTCATGGGAAAGATAATGGTTTTGAGGGTCGCTTTCCCCTCTTCCTCTCACGGCACGCAAACCCTAATTGAATTCTAAAGATGATTTTTTTTTAAAAAAACACATAGGTAAGTAAGCTCGAAATTTTTGTCCTTCAGATTGTAATAATAATAATATCAATTAAACTAAAAATTTTGTGTTAATACCAACGAGATTGGTTCAAGTGATAAGCAGTTTGATATTGCTTAAGCAAGTCTCAAGTTCGAGTCCTTCTGTATGCAGAAAATTTCATTTGAGAGACACCCATCAAAGTCAGGTGTGTGATCAAGTTGGTTTGGATTAGTCAAGGCAAAACCTTAAGAATTAGAACGGGCATAAAAAAAAGATAATCGATATAGAGCAAGCACATTTGATTGATTGGTCAAGTTACTCATCTTTATTCATTCGTATTAATATCAAGATATTGCTCTTACTATATTTTAAATTTGCTCTTAACACTACTCTAAAATCTAGCATGCATACATATTGATCTTAATTCATTGTGAAAGGTGGGAAATTATTATTATTATTTTTTTGTAAAAAGGTAAGAGATGAATTTTGATTGGATAAAATTTATATAAATTTTATTGATTGCGATTAAATTATATATTTAAAAAATAAATTCAATTATTTTATATTGTCAAAATATAACTATTTGTACTTACAGTTGATAAAAGTAAAATGATATTGCGTTGACAAATATATCAACACTACTTAAAATAAAAATAAAAATAAAAGTATACCATTTTTGAAAGGGGCAGTTTAGTTTTACTTACAAATACAACCAAACAAAACAATTTAAAGAAAAGGTAAATTTGTCTCATAAGTTTATAGTAATTGAAAAACCAACTACAATTAGAAAGATAGAATCAGCAGCAGAAAGGAGCAGACTCTATATGCCCCTCCCAACAAGGCTTTTTGTTAGCTTTAACAGAAACAAAATAAAGACCCAACCTTTCATTTTCCATATATATATATATATATATATATATAAGATTATCATTGACTTATTGTTTGTAGACTGTTTTGAACAGAGACCCGTAATAAGTAATAGCTCAAACAAGAGAATTTTAGTGAAGAAAAGCTAAGATCATTGAATCATATTCGAACTGTGAAATGCAGATAAGATTGAATTCTCAGATCATTGTTTTTAACATTTTCAGTTTTCTGTACTGTGTTAGGTTGAGTTATCTTCACTCTAAGAAGATTGTCCATAGAGATGTCAAAACCAAAAACATGCTCCTGGACAAGACGCGTACTGTGAAAATTGCTGATTTTGGTGTTGCTCGACTTGAGGCATCGAACCCTAATGACATGACTGGAGAAACTGGAACACTGGGTTACATGGCGCCAGAGGTATATCTACAGCTTATATGCTTTCCTAGAATTTTCAAATGCAGGGTCTTCAATATAAAGTGTGGGGCAAGATGGTTGATCCTTGATCATAAACCCTAAATTTTTCTAAGCATTGTCTATATCTTATGATCTAACCTTGATAAATATGAAACTGAGACAGGTCCTAAATGGCAATCCCTACAATCGGAAGTGCGATGTGTACAGTTTTGGTATATGTTTGTGGGAGATATACTGCTGTGACATGCCATATCCTGATCTTAGCTTCTCAGAAGTCACATCTGCTGTTGTTCGCCAGGTAAATTTATCTATCCCTAGTCATTTTCTGGGCTGCAAAAAACCTATATCAGGTGTTAATATCGGATATGTCAGACACGGAAACTTCAAGAAAATGAATCGGAACAACATAGGCAACAACTATAAACCGATATGATTTTATGCCGATCGTATATTATATTTTACCTAGACTTCTTATTTTCTAGAGTAATCGGATATGGTTATGAAAAAACATAATCATCTAGATATATTAAAGAACTTAGAAAATATTAAACATACTTGAATCTAATATTCAACTTTTTAAACTACAGAATCTGAGGCCAGAGATACCTCGTTGCTGTCCAAGCTCGCTTGCAAACGTAATGAAGAGATGCTGGGATGTTAACCCCGACAGACGGCCGGAGATGGACGAGGTGGTGTCAATGTTAGAGAGTATAGACACATCCAAGGGTGGGGGGATGATCCCACATGATCAACCTCAGGGTTGTTTGTGTTTTCAGAGATATAGGGGACCTTGATATTTTTCCCCTTAACCCCCCATTGAACTTGAATTAAAAGAAAGCTTTCAGGGCATAGTTCCAATTTATTAATATATATGTATAGGAGGAAATTGTGGTGTTTATTATTCAGTAAGAAAACTTTGGTGTAGTTCATCCCGACTTCCAGTAATCCCGACTTCACGGTCTGGTTCAACTAATCATATGAGATAATCAAGTGCCATGTGTTGACACCAGCAGCAAGCAATAAAATCGATATGAAGAATATATACATACATACACATCCTAGATGGATTCAGAGAAAAATCAAATGGTAATACTCTTGAATATCAAATATTCAAATATATTTAAAATTTGATTCGGATAGCAGTATTAGATATCCAAATCTATTATTTGAATTATTTTAATGATTCAGTCAAAAACATTCTAACTCGTATCTGAAAGAAAAAATATTTTGAAATCAATCCCAGAACTGCAATATGCATTAATACATTAAAAACAAATAAGATGTGAAGTTTGCATATCGATACTTACTACTGATTTTAGGAACAAAAATTTCGAGGACCTAATCAACTTTATAACATATTTGATCACATCCTTACTTCAATGCCTTCCTTCAATAAGTGTGCTTTTACAGACTGAACGGGAACCTAAAACACAATGAATCAAAGAATTGTTATCAAAGTTTAAATTTATCTAGTTATCCATCAAGCTGGGTAAAACTGAGATTGTAAAAAATTATTAAATAATTACCTCCTTCCTATGGAAAATACCAGCAGCAAGAGCAGCTGATGCATTTGTTTTCATGAATACCTCCGAGAAGTGTTCAACAGCACCAGCGCCACTACTTGCAATTACAGGGATGCAGACAGCATCGGATATCAGCTTTATTAAATCAATATCAAATCCTTTTCCTTGACCTGTAAAGTCAGCAAATAGGCATTTAAACAAACAAAAGAAGAATAGACAGAAATCACAAGTATATAATATTAAGTCTTCTGTAATTTTGATGACCATGGACACGTTTAATAATAAACCAAAAATGACTATTTATTTATCAGAGAAAAAATGGCATAATCTGGTTATTGTCAATAGCACTTGACCATCTGTTGTAAATGTAAAAAAAATGACTCTTGATGAAATTTTAAAAACAAAAAGAGCAATTATTTCACTGTTGTCAAGGCATGCTCCTAGCGTCTGTGACTGCGCACTACAAAACAAAAGTGCCTCAGACCTTTTGGGCGAGAACCATTTTATTAGGCGCAACCTTATTGCACCTAGAGTCCTAGGCATGTTTTTTTGTAAGGTGGTAGGCATAAAAAAGTCCACCTAATTGAAGTTCTCTCTAATTTCTTTAATTTTTTACTTATTTCCTTAGATATACCTTTAATATCAAGAAGAGAATAGTATCAAACTCAATCAAGCATGCATGATTGAAAAACACTTCAGAGTTTACTATCCATACTATTGACGCACATAAAAACACACAAATATATACATATATATATGAATATTGCGCTTTACTCACTTAGGCTAGCGCCTAAAGCAATGAAAGAGTTCTAGCACCTAGACACACTTAACAACACTGGATTATCTGAAATGTTAATGTCGTGCTATTTACTTGTGAAGGGGAATTATGAGCGATGAGGAAATTGTTTATACCGTCACAATCGATACAGTTCAATAGTATTTCTCCAGCTCCCAGTTCTTCAACAACTTTTGCAAGCTCATAAGCTCCAATTGGTCGACCTTCTCGTCCACCATTAACCTTAGGAACATAAAGCCATCAAGCATATGCATAAACTAAAGACTTCTGACATATAAACGGAAAACCGATGGATATTTAACCATTATGTATTATTCATGGATACATTAAGCAGCTAAACAATCTGTTCAAATGTGACACGACTGAAGTTGCTACAGTTAAAATGCAGAATGATATAGTTTTACCAGTGTATGGTTGAGGCAGGCAGCGACTACTTTGATTCAAGGATACATATCATTTCTTGTTTGGTTTTCTTATTTAGATACCACTAAAGGCAACATTTCAAGCGCAGTGTGAAATGGCATGGAAGATCTGCATGTTGGGCTTTGGAAGATATCATTCTATAATTTGATTTCTATATTAGAGTACTTGAATTGAACTATAGAATAGAAATAGTCTGAGTGCACCATTGATGCTATTGTTCCTTGAAGCATCGCATTATTTAGTTTGCACCTTCAAGCTAATTGCCTTTTCCTGCTGTTGTTTTTCTTAGACATGTTAGAGCAGTTAGATTTTATCTAATTTTCAGGATTTATATGATCGTCACAAACTTTTAATACATATGCTCCCATTGTTTATTATTATTCCTTTCTCTCAACTCTCTTCGTTCTTCATCATGTTACTCCAACGCTACATTTTTCCTGGAGGTGTCTAATATATACTTGAACATGGATATAATGCTGAGAACTTCCAAACGTATGGGAAAACATAGAATAAATAAAGCATACACGTGTTAAGAAACATCCATACTAGACTTGAATCCTTGTGTCTGAGTAACATACTCATGGTTGAGATCCGATGCCCATCGTCATGCATTTTCTTTATTCCTTAGCCGTCCCCATCTAAATCCTACGTTCGGCTTCTTCTCTCATCTCATCTCCCCTTTAAAATTCCATACGCTATTTTTAGATATTCTGGAAGATCAGAAAACTACTTAAGCCAATGATTGCCCATTGATCTGTGAAATTGGGCTGACATGAATGGATGGTGGATGCATTTGGGTCATAGGCATTAAGTCTGCTTTTTGATTGGTTGTTAGTCTTATGACTGATTCATATTTGTTGGTGGGAATTCGTTGTTCGATGAGTTCTTTTTTGGTTTTATAGGTGTTTGCTTGCTTTGAATAAGATCTAATTGTATGATTGGTTTAACGCACACCATTAGTTTAAAAAAAGCTTCGTAGATAAGCGCTTTATCAGAGATAATGCAAAAAGGCAGAGAGCAAAGAGAACCCTACCGTACACTGATACCAAGCATATTCTTCTCCGTTTGGACCTGACACCAAAAAGGACCATCCTAATCAGTCTTGAGGGGGGGGATCTCTTGTTCACACGCAGCAGAATTTTCAATGGACAATGTAAATTTCGGATGAATGGTAAATAAAAAAAAAGTAAAATCTTTATTTACCTGGTTTTGTGACCCGTATAGTCTTGAACTGCACATCATTAGGACCTTTAACATACACTCTACGAGGATCAATGCTTACAACCACTGCCTGTCAAATAAACATTAAATCAACTCATAAAAAGTTCATTCTTCTTACTGCAAATATGATCAAGTGGCCAAAATGATATGTCAAAATTTCGCTTACAAGATGTAATAGCAAAAATTAGCAACAAGACTAACACCAGTTGAATGGGTAAAAAACAATGATCATAATTTTTATTACAACACGTGCTCAAAGTATATCTACACACGGGTATGAGGATTTGACCTCCTAAATGCATGGAAAAAATTGAACATACAGTGTTTGACAAGAGTATGTGTCCAGCATACACACCCGAGTCCAACACAACTATCATCCATCAACAATTTGTCAGTTCCTTTTGTTCTTTAACATTTTTTCCTCTAAAAAAATACTTTATCATTTTATAGTAAATATAAATAAACAAGAGGGAAAAACTTCAAAATCAGCCCATAGAAGATTAATAAAATATACATGGATACATATTTGAGCGGGCATCTACACATCAAAAACAAGAACAGCAATCACCTGATTTCCATAAACGTTAGAAATTTGCTCTAAGCTGCTCTTTCCTGTCTTTACCTGAAAGAAGCGTTTACAGAACTATTAGTAATTATACATATGCACGTGCATAAACATCTTAACTCCAAATATTTCAAATTTTAAAGAGGTCATATTGCACACTTTGGTTTTTATATATTCTTCTGCCGCATAAACTGCATCACTTCCAATGGATATTTTATCAGCCCCAGACCTAAAATACTCTGAAGCAACTTCCAAACTAGAATAGTACCTGAAAAAGAAATATTGAATATACATCTATGATACACTTATTACAAAATTGTGCCAAATACAGAAAGATCACTGAGAACTGCAGAATCAGGGAATGCCTAATAAATCATTTGAATTAAGTCTTAGTAGTAATACATATGAAAACCAGATCATAGCATAAAACAGAGGTACACCTCCCATTTGCATCAGTAAAATCTCGTATACCACCTCCAACTGTTAGTGGGACAAACACATTTTCTGATGTGTGCCTTAACACCTGCAATGCATATAACATAATAAATATACATACAAACGCTAAATAAAATTAAAAATTCCAAGCTGAAATATGTTTATAATCAAATGCCAAAAACCTGCAACATCGGTAAATCGCCTAATGGGAAGTCTCGGAATCCAGTAATGTTCAAAAAGCTGACCTGAAATTTGAAGTACAAAAGAAATCAATAATTCAAGGCATAAAAGAAGCTCTGCAGAGGTTAAATGATTGCTGATATTGCAATATAAACAAAACATTCTCAAAGCTATAAGCATACCTCATCAGCCCTATCTTTGTAATACTGTCCAGCAAGCTCTACGGGCTTACCAAGGTTTCTCACCTATAAAAGTTTTTGAAAAGTTAAAACGGCATCTAAATCCAAGTATTAGAATATAGGAGATCAAGAAGAAAACAAGCCAGCATAATTCTACTCCAATATCCTCTCATCGAAGGTAACATCCACTTTTATCATGTACGGCATCTTGAATTCGTTATTCATTTATAGGCAAACTTTAAATTTGATTTAGGCGTTCACCAATCCAAAACTAAGATCACGGAATTAGAGCAATGAATGACCTCTGACTCACCTCATTCTCTTTTGTATGCTCTCTTACATCATACTGGTCTCCTTTGGTTACAACAAGATCCCCTTTATCATTCGTCCTAACATCAAGACAAGCAATTACCTGAATAAAATAATTTATCACTCAGCTACGAATCATATGAACCACAAAGTCATTAATGTACTCATTTAGGGCTATGTAATTACCATCTAAAACACAAGTAGTGCATAGAAAATAAAATCAAGAATAACATCCAAAATAATTCAAGTTTCATAAACTATTACCCTCTTAGCAAGTTTTGAAGCCTTCCCCTGAGTAGGCTTCTGAGTCAAGCAAATCATTCAGATAATTAATTGGATGAATAAAAACTGATAAAAGTTACCAGATGAACTAAACCAAGGATACAAAGACTACCTTTGCACCCCGTGAGTTTGGATTTAGGAACCTTCTCAATACAGAAAGACCAACATCTGAAACAATTTTATCAATGTAGTCGATGGTCAAAAAAAAGGTAAGCTCTTATGTCTGACATTTGTTCAGAAAAGAAATAATCTTTTGCTAATCTACAAAGATACTTATTTATAAATCAGACAGAACAAATAATGCGTTGAAAAAGAAAATGGATGGACCAACTCTCTAAACTAGGAGAATCAACTTAGCAATTCTGCTTTTGATGATCTTCATGTACTCATGCTGATATCGGAAATCTTATTTTTATCATTATTAATTTTTTTTCTTTCACGATCACAGAAAACTGAGAAGACAAAATTAGAGGGAAACATTTTTAAATTACAGGTATGCATGTGAACAAGCCATTCCCATGCCAATGAGAAGGAACTTGCACAATTTGAAACTGGAAACATGTGAAGACAAAAATAAGTATTAAGAGCTCAAATTTCTTGCCTCCACTCTTCTCTGGATGGAATTGAACTGCATGCACATTTCCTCTTTGGATAGATGCTATAAAATCATCACCGTAATTGCATGTAGATGAAACCCATTCTTTGTTATCATCTGACTACCAAAAATATGACAAAATAGGATACCAAAGAGCACAAATTATGCTTTTTGGAAGCTTTTGCAATAGCGCATTGATGAGCAAATGTTACAAAATAATTACAAGGTAGACAAGGAAGAGCATACTGGCATGGCACGATAAGAGTGAACAAAGTAGACATGGTGGTCTCCGACGTCATCCAAAATTTCAGAGTCTTTAGCAACTTGCAAAGCGTTCCAGCCAATATGTGGTACTCTAAAATCATTCGAAGAGTTGAACCGCCCAACCACACCAGGTATCAAGCCGAGACCATTCACTGAAACAAATCACCATGGAGTAAAGTTGAAAAGTTTAAAACTATAAAAGAAACAAAACCATACTACAAAGAAAATATCCAAAATTTTATTTGTTTGCGAAAAGAAGATTGAAGACTAATTGTATTTCCCTTTTCTGCTGCCAATTCCTTCTTCCTCCTATAATAAACCTATTCTTTAAGTTATCTATGAATATCTATTTATAAAATAAAAATAATAATGATAGTTAAACCACCAAAAGAAAGATGCTCATTAAACCGCATAACCTAACATAACATGCATTCAGGAGAACAGTTAATGCATATTTTCTACGAGTGAAGAAATACTATTAAGCCCTAAGCATTAATATCATATGTTTAGATCTTTCAAAGATTTACAATAAAATAGGAGTTTTTTTTAAAATTAACCTGGTCCATTCTCTTCACTAGACTCAAAAAGTAGTTGAAGTCCCAGACAAATGCCTAGAAATGGGCGACCATTTTTTATGTAGGTACATAGTGCTTCAGCCATCCTGCAGTAAATTAAAAATAAAAACTCAAAACTGATCATTTTAACTAAGAAGTTAAATTTTGATCTAAACGAAAGAGATAATTAGCTATCATTAAAAAGATTGTAGAAGGAAAATTTTCAGACAGTTACAAAGTGGCATATCATTAGAATATTTCTTCAACTTTTATTCGAGGTGATAAATAGATTAAGTGCAGTTTCGCAAGTCATTTGGCGAATCAATATAAAGTCAGATGGTTCGCCAAATAAGTTTCAAAAGCTCAAGGATCATCCAAGCAGATTTGATCTCTGATTCACTATACTTCTCTAATTAAAATAATTTACAAAAAAAATTATCAAGTTACTACAGAACCTTCTGATTTATCATAAAGAAGTAAGGTCCTATATTAGTTCTTCCACCATTTCATATCCAAAATCCATGTATACAAAATAGTTCTAAAAGTATGTTCAAATGACCAAAACGAAACAGCTCGAAATAATTATTTTTATTAAAAAAAGGTCATAAAAACTAATACCCAGTCTTGGTCAATACATCCATGGCTGAAGCAAATGCTCCAACACCAGGAAAGATAAGGCGATCTGCATTCAAAATGTCTTTTGGAGTTCGCACCTACATTTGAATTCCAAAGAAATAACACATTTATTACTTATTAAGCATACTTCATTGAAATGCAATTAAACATAAAATGATACAGATCATAACATTCTTAAAACTATGCCACCAATCCACATACTTCAAGCAAAGGAAAAATGAACACGATAACAGAAACTCCCTATGAATTTTCTTTTAGCGGAAACAATTAAAAATATTTTGCAATTTATAAAAGTATACACGTATTTTACTTGGACATAAGATAAGTGCCCATATGGGCAATCATATCCTATATCCATGTCTGAAAATGTGTGATTACCGGACATGAGTACTTAAAGAAAACTGAGGAAGCGAACAACTATTGAAAAGAAACATGCTTGCGAGTTGAGATAGTTCAACACTATGTCTCTATCTACTATAAAGTTTACATCAGATTCTTATCCTAAACTGAAGTTACACTCTTACAAAATTGGATGTAAACATTTAATCAATCTGAATAAAGTGTTAAAACTTTTCAATGAATAAAATTACCAATCAATTAAAGAAAGTGATAAGTAAGCTAAAATGACTTACATCCTCTATCTCAAAGCCAAGATACCGAATCGCATTCCTTACACTCCGAACATTTCCAGCTCCATAATCTAGCAAAGTTACAACTGAACCTACAAGAAATCCAAAAAATAAAGAACTAAAGAAACTAAATAATTCCAGTTGGAGAATTAGAAATAGGACCAAATTCATTCAAGAGAGTACCAGAACTGGAACCAGATGAAGCGCAGGTTACAAGTTTTCTAGGAGATCTTGATTTTAGAGTACTTTTGTGACAGTTTTGGGGGAGGTTTATGATAGAAGATTGTGATAGAAAAGAGAACGGCAATGATGTTGTTGCGAAGCTCGTAACGGAAGCACATGCCACTGTCTCCATTGCAGAACAGTGCGTTTCACCGTAACAAATTCCTATGAATCGTTAAAGGCCTTAGAGGTGGCGAATTGAAAGAAACTAATTGATCATGTCCAGAACTGTTTCGAGGAAGCCAACGTCAGAGAAGACTCCAATGGAGGCGGCAGCAGAGGTGGCCGAGAGCTTATATACTTCTCTTTTGGAAGCACGATGGTTTACAGTGAGAGTGTTCTTTGAAGACCTCTTATGAAGAAAGAGGGAAGATCGGCCGTCAGCGATGATTCCGCCGCCAAAAAAAGGAGTGGGAAACAGCTTCGAGGGAAAAAAGCAGCAAATGATGAGTTGATGCTACAAGTAGGGTTAAACTTGGGTTTGTATTTTATGAGTAATTTTTTCGGGTAAACTATACTAATGACCACTCAACTATAACCCTTTTTCATTTTAACCATTATTTTTATTTTTTGTCAATCAGACCACTCAACTATTTAAATGCATTCAATCATGCTACTTCCCGTTAATAGTTAATGAAAGTGCTGACGTGACAGTTAGTAAAATTAGTATAATTACATATTTGGTCACTCTTACTTATATATTCCATCTAGTTGGTCCTAATTTTAATAAATTGAAATAAAAATAATCTTCCAATGGGATGATACCATATGTCACCATTCAATTTGATGATTAAATTTATTTATTTATTATAATTTAATATATTTAATTTCTATTAATTAGAGGGTGACACGTGTCATCCTCAAGTGAAAAGAAAATTAAAGAACAAATGAGGGGTAGAAGAAATAAACCTAGACCTCTTGGATGAGAATAAAAAAAATAAACCCGAATGAAAAGGGGTTATAGTTGGGTGGTCGTATAATTTACCCTTTTTTATTATTAAGTTAAGGTTACAAAGTAGAATTTGATTTAAATACTTTTAATTATTTCATCTCTGTTGTAGTTGTGGGTGCTCGAACTCGTGACCTCTAAGAAGTATAAACAATAATAATTTCTTTAACCACTAAATTATGTTGGTTCGTGCTTTTTTAAATTGGATGTTATGATTTGAGATTGTAATTTAACTCAAAACTAGTGAATTTTGATTTGATTTAATTAGATAGAGTCATATCCTTTTTAAAAATAGAAAATTCTATAGGGCTCTACGAGCACCATTAACCATGAGCACCATTGATTTATTTTATAAAATTTAAAATTTTAAATGACTCAACTAATAATTATAAATTAGTTAAAAACTTAAAGGTAAATTATATTAGTGACACCTAACCATTGTCCTTTTTCATTTTGATCACCATTTCTTAAATTTTGTCAATCAAGTCACTCAACTATTTAAATGCATTCAATTAAGTCACTTGCTGTTAGTATTTAATGGACAAGCTAACGTGACAGTTAAAATATTTGATATAATTGCACATTTGATCATCATTACTTATATATCCTATCAATATGATCCTAATTTTAATAAATTAAAATGAACTCATCCTAAATTCAATTGGCTATAAAATTGTTTGTTTGCAATTGTCTTAAAATAAAAAAAAAATACCTCCAACGTTTAATCAATTCTCTGGTAAATTTGTTTGCAATTACTCGTAAATTATCGTTAATGCCCTTATGGTATTTAACTCATTCACAAACATCTACATCAAATTCATCATCTTATCAATGCGGGCCATATAAATGAAATACAACAACATTTTAAGTTAGGAATTTGGATACGAGAATTTAAAATTTAAGAATTATATTTTGAAGATTTAGATATTTAGAAGATTTCGACTTGAAAATAGAGGTTTGGATTCTTTTCTAAAGATTTTGAAATTTTGAGATTTTTTAAAAAATATATATATTTTTAATTTAAATATTAACAACAAATGACTTAATTGAATACATTGAAGTAACTTGATTTAAAAAATTTAAAAAACGGTGGAAAAAAAGAGACAATAGTTAGTAGATCAATGGTATAATTTTCCCATTAATTTTAAATAATTTACCATTAAATTTTTAACTAATTTTTAATTATATGTTGAGTCTTTTAGAATTTTAAATTTTATAAATTAAATTAATGGTGTTCATAGAGGTGCTCATCTCCACTCGTCGAGCGTACAAGAATCATCTTTTAAAAATAATAAATTTAAGTCAAGTCAAGGCAGATTTTATATAGGAGTGAGGTTGGATCGAGTTTCAAATGATGGTGAAAAACCTATGACTCGAATCGACCCAGAGATAATAGTGTAATCTTTCATATAAATTTATGGATAATTAAAATAATATCCATCTCTATTATTTTTTTAATTAGGTCCTTATTTTATATCAAATCGAGTCATATCAGATTTATACTCTAAAAAATTTGAATCAAATTATATTCGGATAGAAAAATATACTTTTCGAGTCAGGTTGAATCGAGTGAATAATATGTCTTTTTCAAATTATTTCTGATAAAGGATACATATTTTCAGATCGTATCGAGCTGACCAAAATCTCTATCCAACCCCGAACCATTACCATCTATGAAAGTTCTAGCAGGCCTAAACCCACCCAGTAACTTTGGAAACGTGGTTTGAGTTGTTTATTTTGTTATAGTTTTAGGGTTTAATTTACATTTTAATCTTTTAATTATATCATTTACTCACTTTGATATTTAAATATTTTTCTAAATAATATTTACAAATTTATTTCATTAATGGATTTACTATTAAGACAATTTGAATGATACATAACTAAAAATGGATATAAGTTAGATTTTTAATTAATCCGATCTAATAAAAAAACTTCTGCTCGAAGCTCAATTCAATCTATATTTAATATTGTTTTATTAAATTTAAATCAGATTTAAGTTTTAAAACACAAATTTAAATTGAATTGATTTTTCAAAAAATATTAAATTATACAATAGTTTGAATAAAAAAATTAATCTCTAATCCAAATGCAACAATATGATTGCTCATTTAGATATTTATGATCTATAATATCAAACAAAATCATAATGGTTTTCGAATGATCCATCTAAGGTTGTAAATGAGATAAGACAAATAACGAGTTACTCAAGTTCAATTCGGTCAAAGCTCGATAAAAACTCGATTCAAATGAACTCGATTCGAGCTCACCTCAAATTTGTAACGAACTGAAACAATCTACTTAATACTTGACTTAAAAAGTTTGTGAGCAACTTGAAAATATAATATATTATGTTTTATTTCTTAAAAAATAAATTATTAATAATATTAACATTTATGTGTTAATTTTAAAAAACTGCAATATAAAATTTTGATGTATTTAAGTTTCAATTTCAAGTTTGAGTTTAAGGCTTCGATCGAGTTAAGTTTAAGATTTTTTTCATTTCGAACATTTTCGAATTTTTACGAACTTCAGTTCATGATTTCGAGTTCAAATCAAGCTTAAAAAATTTAAACTTACGAGTTTCGAGTCGAACTCAACAATACTCAAATTCAATTTACTCTTTAAAGCACTAGATCCATGCAATAACGTCAAGGAAATGATAAGAGACTCAGGGCAGTAGCACCAACTACTTTTGAATAGTATAATCTAAAAATTAAAGAAATAGAAAATGAATTGAAAATCCATATTTTAAAAATTAATAATAATATTGACGTTATATTTTTTTAAATTATTTTTAGTATTAATATAATATTATTTTAAAATAATACATTATTATTATTATTATTTATTCATTGATGAATGATTTTAAACATAATATTATATATATTTTAAAAAATAATAATTAAATTACTAAAACATAAATTAAAGAATAAGTGTTAGACTAAATAATTAATTTATCCAAATTAATTTAAGGCGCGAGTTACAATATTTAATAGCTGTATCTATCGTTTCGCGCGCTGTTTACTGTTCGTTGATAAAGCAGTTGAATATCCTCCTAAATTTTCGTACAAAATGAACATTTTGGTAATGGAGACGTAATTGCAAAATTCCCTCTCATGGAAGGAAGTTCTTAATCGATAAGCTTCTTTGAGAAAGCATAGAAGGTGAGAGAAATTTTCTCTTCTTTCTCCTTAACAAAAACTTCTTAACCGTTTCTTCGTCTCTCCCATGAGAATGGCGCCTCAGAACAAGACGGAGAGGGCTGCGCTCGGCGGCGCAGACGACGACAGAGATATCCACGATGTTAAGTTCGCGAACGGAGACTGCTGTTTTTGTATGCCTTGTCACGGATCTATCTGGCTGCAGCGGTTGGCGATGAACGACAACAACTCCACCTTATCCACGCAGTCGATCGACGAAGAGACGTGTTGGACGCGACGTTGGAGGAGGTTCCGAGAATGGTTGGATACGGTGGCCGTAACGAAATGTAAGACCCTCTTGCGGCGGTTCAAAAAGAACATAGCCCGTAACGGAGGAAAGGAATTCTGTTACGATCCGCTGAGTTACTCCCTCAACTTCGACGAAGGGACGGGACAAAACGGCGCCCTCGACACTGATTATTTTAACCACAACATTTCGTACAGGTATGCTTCGTCCTCGTTACCATCCTCCACCAAAACCTCCTTGGATTTCGATAGAGAGAGCAGCCGTTACTCTATTGATTGTTAACGTGTTCCTCGGATTCATAAATTTAAAAATAAGATTCAAAATTTTAATATTATTTTTTTACCAATAAAAGGTGTACAATTTTTTTAAACAGATTAAATTAAATTTAATGATTTTTCAAAATAACTAGGATATGCTTGACCCCTGAAATTTATTGCATTCGTCCCTGTTGGTTGATAGTAGTTTCCTTACAGGCCTTGCATTACAGTTAAGCTTAGGTTAAATTAAGTATTTAATACATAAATTATCAGTTTTACTATGTTTTAATATTTAAACTTTTAATTTTTTAAAATCATTCAGAAAATTTAGTTTTTGTTTCATTTTAATACTCACCGTTAAAAATTTAACGCGTTTAATACCCAAACGATCAGTTTTAGAATGTTTTAATACTAAATTTTTAATTTTTTTTAAAAAAAAATTAAATTTAAAACAATATACTAAAATGAAACAAAAACTATAATTTTTAACGGTAGGTACACTTTAAGTATGAATTTAATCTTTTTTAAAAGTTTAAGTATTAAAAATGAATAAAAACTGATAATTTAATTACTATAATTTATTCTTAATTTTTTTTTTTTATCCTTAAACTTAAAATGTTCTTTTAGGTGCTTTTTGTTGAGAGTATATCATTACTCATCAACAACCTGATAAAAAAAATTCAAAATCACCACTAACAACCACTAATATTGTAACGCTTTAAAATTTTTAATGTTATTTTTTTTTCAATTGTTCTTCAGGTGTTGATTATTTATTTGATTTAACGAATGATATTTGATTTTATTAAT